ACTTTGAAAATTAATTTACTTTTGAACCGATATTTGGAGAAATTTTTTGTTTTCATTTAAATTCATGTAATACAATCATTTAAATAATTGTATTACATGAAAAGTATGATGAATAATATAAGTACAAACATGCATATATTCTACGGAGATATTGGAAAAATGTGTTAGGATATAAATAATAATAATATAAAAAATTATTGCTCAGAAAATTTATTAAAATAATTCGACAAACGGAATTTACTATTGCCTTTGTGATGTGATATAAATATATATGTATGTACTAACGCGTTGGCGCTATAGACCTTGTAGATTTTTGACCGCGAGATGTGGTCTTCTAGACACTCTGTAGTCTTAAAAAGTATGCTGTAAACTCGGAAAAATCGTCAAAAATGTGAAATTATACTAATATGAGCATCACAGGTTTAATAACTCTGTTAAAGGTAATCTTGTTTGGTAATATAATTTGATTTCTTGGTGTGAGTTGTCTTAATTTTTCAGCCAACAATTGTCCACATTAATTAGATGAACCCTACAATGGCTGTTTTTTGGTTTTATAACTGTTTATATGAGCTAAAGTATCGCTAGCCTGCTTTAAATGTTTGTTAATTCACAACTCTAGTAAGATAAGATTTTTTTTTTTTTTTATAAATTGCAAATTCTAACATAAAATCTTTGGTTTCGTCAGAATCATTTCTTTGAACTCTTTGAAACGTTTTGAAATGGCTATAATTAAAAAAAAAAAAAGGTATGCAAAATCGCAAAAAAAAAAAAAAAAAAATAGGAAACTTTAACTAATATGTGAAAGCATCACAGATTTAATAACTCTCCAAAAGTTAATTCTTGTGTATCTGATAAGAATGAAAATAATAGATTCTCTGATTTTCATCCCCTGGACAATTATGAAATTACGTTTAACTTCTGCATAACAATTAGGTAGCATGAATTTTTAATTAATTTCAAACAGAATTTATTTTAATAGATATATTTTTTGTAATCGTTGACGAAGATTGGGGTGTAATTATAAAAACCCAATTGTTTCTTATGCATATTTGCGATGATAATTAGGATTCAAGAAAATTGGTGTGGACACGGATACCTCATGGCCTACCAGGGTCTAACTCAAACCGTTCATTATGTTATACTTATTACCTAATTCTAGTATTTACAGCTTCAAAACTTCTGACCAAGAAATATATTTCCGTTTTTTTTTTTCTTACCTTGTGTTTTAATAAAATGATTTAGTCTAATATGTATTTTATTAGGTGTCTTCAAGGAATATATAAGCCTATATGCTTTCAATTTTTTTATTTTACTTCCAACTACGTTTCGAGCTGAGTAGCTCATTGTCAAGACATAAAAAAAAAAAAAATGTTTATCTACTAAAATGTATTTCTATATTACAATTTCATTGAACATCTATTCGTAGTACACAAAATACCAAAGATAACCATATTCCGCGTCTCCATATTCCTGAAATATTTGCACAATGATTGATGCTTGCTATCCCCGTACTGTACAACCTCCTCTCTCTATCGTTTAACATTAGTCAACGTTTAACCATTTATAAGAACATTGAGTGCCCTTGAATAGAACTATTTTAGTAGCTAAATATACGCATTTTATTAGATTTCAAAATCGATGTTCGTAAAGTAGAGCTGAGAGACACTTTGATATTCTTGTTTGCAGGAATTAACGTCTCGGAGGCAGTGAGGACTTTTATTCATAATGTCTTTTACCAATTTCATCTTAAAATACAGGATGATAGTATGAGCATATTGGTTGACAACAAGAGTTCACTTCAGGTCTCCTACAAGAGTGTGACTTGAAGAAAGTAACTGCAACAGCGATTTGTTTTGAGGAGCATGGGGGTAATATAACCAGGAATATTAGAGGGGTGAATGAATTCTGGGAAGTCTAAGGAGCTTGGGAAAGGGTTTCAAATGTAGTTATCAATAATTAATTGATATTATTAAGATGTCTATGGGCAAGGGCTGAAGCTATTAACTATTAAGAATTAATATCCTTATCCTTTATTATTCATATGAGATCCGTGAGAAAGGGCCTTATGCTGAAATATGTTACTGTTCCCTAATTCGTGATAATGTGTCCAGTCAGTGCCTTTTAGATAACTAATTTTAAGCTATCAGAGATAGTTTGCCTGTCTATCTAGGGATAACTTTGTCTTTTTATCCTTTGAGTTATGGAAATTGTTAATACAATACATGATTCACTAATTGCCATATTTAGCAAACTCAATTATTAAAATAAAGGTTAAATTAATATTATTATTTGTTACGGATTAAATCCGTTCCGTAACTCAGGGGTATACATCACGTCTCCACCACACCTCTGAGACGTACTATTAACTCAAGTTTATAGCTAAATAAAAAACGGAAACTTTTTTATTATTTAAAAATGTAATCCCAATTATTGTATATACCTTCTTTAACTTCAACTTCTTTTATTGTATAATACCTTCTTTAATCACAATTACAATCGCTAGAGAGCAAGAATAAAAAATTCCATATTTTTATATTCGATAGTTAGCATTTGTATCGACGATATACTTACATCAAAAATCTAAATATAGAACTGAAGAAAAAATATCAATTTAATGTTTTTAATTATTATCCATAATAGTATATTCTTAATATTATTTATAATTACATTCACGTGTCATTTATGTTACTGCATTTTTATTGAAATTATATTTATAATTTATATTTATGAATATTCTTTATATTTATTATTGTTATTATTATATTTACAGTTCCGGAAAGTGACTTTTTTTCGGTTGTTTTTATTATTATTTTTTTATAATTCAAAAAAATAAAAAGAGATTTTTGCAATTGTCATAAACTGTATCTTGGTCCATCGATTATTGAATTGTGTTTTTAACTGGCTTTAACATCCATAAGTAAATTTTGTCATTTTCGATAGCTTTTATTTTGAATTTTAACCACTCTCAAATACCTCTTACGCCGGCATTCTATTTTGTCTCTTTATATTTCCTACACTGTTTATATATTTAAAAAACGGTTTCCGTCTCACATTAATATATTTTTAATTTATGTTTGATTTATTAGACAAAGAATGTTTTATCTTGCTAGCTTCACTGTTTTTATTGCAAATAATATTCCTAATAGTCATAGGCTGTTCGGGGATTGAACAAGGTTTTAATTTGACGTTTTGTTTTGAATAATTATGATATGCAGTAGGATTCTCATGTCTGTCTTTGAATTTCGAGATTTCTTAAACGTTTTTTTCAAATGCCGTTATACTGTATTTTAAAAGAAAATTCTTTTATTTAAATTACTGGATATTTCTTTACGTAAACACCGTTTGTGTGTTTTGTAATATAATATTTTTTACTGATGAAGCATTTTTTAAACTATCAACATTTTGATGGTGGACTGATTAATTAGAATTTTCATCTTCGACACTTACTAACATGTTTATATTTTCTACTGCACCTTCACGGTTGCTATTAGAAGGGAGTTGGTAGAGTTTCCTATCTTATTTTAACAATTAAGGGGAACATTTAAAAAAAAAATGTGATGGTTGTAATTGTCCCAGTTCTTCTAGTTTTTCTTCCAGTTTACAAACTTTATTAGCATGAGGATGCTCTTCGGGACTGGAGTCCAATGAATATACATGTTTTATATTTCCTACCGAGTTAACGGTTCTGATAGTCATTATTTTGATCGTTGCAGTACGATATGATTTTCGAAGCTATTTGTAGATATTTCGGGAGTTATATTGTTGAACTTTAGTCTGGTGATTTGATCTAAAATTATTCCTGCTAGGTCTGCTAAAACATTTATTATGTTTTTCATTCGGCTGCCATTCCTGATTATATTGAGGAATTATGGATTCTTGTCTGAAATTACCGAAGGACAGATTTCTAAAGTGATTCTGAGGTGGATATGTTGTTTCACGACGTTAAGATTCTTTGGGGAATGACCTATGATGCAAATAATAATTTATTTTATTTTTATGTAGCTTGAAATCGTGTCTATTATTATTAATTTTTATGTTTTGGTAATGATGTCCGAATTTTAAACCTGCATGATGCTTTGCATCATTACACATAAAATAATCGAGTAATAAGTGACTTTGATTTTGGATAAGATTTCTTAATACATAAATATTTTTCAATTTGTCTATTTTAGACATTAAATATAATCTAACGGGAAGTGGCATAGTGGCAAAAAATATATAGCCGTATATTATAAATAAAAAAAAAAAAAAAAAAAAATATATATATATATATATATATATATATATATATATAGCGGTTGTTTTTTTTCCCAATGATTAATGGCTATATAAATGTTAATAGTTTTATCCATTTTATAACAAGAAATTATGCAAATTATTTTTCTGTTAAGGCATTGTAAGAAATTGAGAGGATATTCTTGGTGACGGATTTTAGTATTATGTAATTCGAATGTAAATCGTTCGATTGACTCATTATATGAAGTTTACATATAATTTAGTATGGAAATTACATATAATCTTAATATAATAAGCTTTGTCAGTTAGACGAGCTATTGCTTTATGTAATAAACGTTTTTCATTTGATTCTTTAAATGCATTATCGGGTGCTCATACAATATCCCTTACGGTTTTAACATCTTAAAGAAAATATAAAAGTTGAAATGGATTACCATCCTAGTTTGGTATGTGTTCATAATCCACAGTACTAATTTTAATTGATGTCATATTTCTAAGGATTTAAATTTCATGTTTAACAAAAAACAATTTCAATCAAGTCAACAGCTTGTTTCTTAAGCAATTGATGTTGATATCATTTCAAAAAGTAAATAATTCCATAGAATTTAGAAAGTCGCCACACCAGGTCAGCCAACACAGTGACCCGTTTCACTCACACAGTTGGATGTGATGAATGATCAAAGCGGAAATTCCGTCCAAATTTCAATGTTACGCATGTCTTGGACAAAGAAACGGTGACGGTCACCGACTTGAGATTGTCCAGCCTACAGCGAGGGCAGCAAGTCCAGGTTCTCGACATCGTGCAGCCCGGGAAGAAAGAAGATGACGGTAATATCCTCAGCAAATTGGACTCCAAGAAAGTGGGCAAGGACGGCATCGTGCTGTTGGACGTCACTCTTGCTGTGGAGCGATGGTAAAGCGGTACCGACCACGACCTCCTTGTGGCGCTCCGCAGAGGATAAGGAGGGACCTCCACAGGACGTTCCTCTACACTGATGACCAAAGATAAGGGCAGCGAGAACTGGACGAGCTGTTATTCCGGAAGAAGAGAGCCACAGCCCAAGGAAAGACACAGAAGGAAGGGTGACAGATCTCTCTGCAGGTGTAACTATTTTATAATGTATATTTAATCTAATATATTAGAATAGAATAGAATAGAAAAATAATTTTATTCTTCAGAATAACAAAAAAGTACAGAAATTAAAATTTTATATCTGGTCAGATAAAAACAAACATAAAAAGTTAAGATAAAGATAAGTCAGTAAAAAAAAAGAGAAAAAAATATTGGTTATACATACTATATACAAAATAAAATAAAAAAATCTATATACGAAACTCTTGAAACCATACTAAGATACTTAAAACTATGTACAATGTTAAAATATAAATAAACCCTTTCAGAAAAAATAAATGTGAATTCTTCTTAACAGTAAAATCTGTGTTTCTGTTGAAAAAAAAAAAAAAAAAAAAAAAAAAAGAAAGTCGAATCTATAATAAATATTTAGGTTATGAGCTATATGTGAATATGTTATTATAAATAGTATGTAATTTTACATAAAAGGTTAGCTGGTATCTGACTGTTTTTGGGATAGGAATTGGAATAGGAGGGTTTTGAATGTAGATAAGGATGAAGAATGACGAATTTTGATAAGAAGGGAATTCTAGAAACTAACAGAACGAGCAATAAAGGAGTTTTGGAACGAGGCAGATCTGTGAGAAGGAATGTAAAGGTCGGAAGGTCGAAATCTTGTGGAGAGGGAGTGGACTGAGGACTCGAATCGGAGAAAGTTGTAGGTGTAGGAAGGACGATGATTGTTGATGATATGATAGAGGAATGTACCTAGGAAATATTGTCTTCGAATGGAGGGGAAGAGCCACTCTAACTCAGTATAGTAGTGAGAGACATGGTAGTATCTCGGTGCACCAATTACAAATCTCACGCAACTGTTCATTAATCTTTTCAGTCTGCCACGGAGCTCCACCGAGAGTCCATCATACACCACACAACTGTAGTCACAGTGGGGGAAGATGAGAGAGGAAACGAGGAGTCTACGCGTATGTTGAGGTAGGAGATGGCGGAAGCGATGGAATAGTTTGAGAGTAGAAACTGTCCGTCGGGGGATGTGAGAAATATGGTGACTCCAGGAGAGGGTTTGATCAATAAATACTCCTAAATTTTTTACAGATGAGTAGAAGGAGATTGGCTGGTCACCACGGTTTAGTACGGGAAAGTCCGTATAGGATCTAAGGAGGGGCTTGGAACCAATGACAATGGCCTGAGTTTTTGAAGCATTTAACCTTAATCCGTTTAAGTTTGCAGAGGCACAGATTCGATCTAGGTCTGCTTGGATCTTAGTAAATTCTACCAATAGCTCAGGGGGAGAAAAGGATTATTGTATATATATACATATTGTATAAATTTAAAACAGATGGAGTTAACGGAGCACAGTCTAGGCTCAATAGTTATAAGATTTAAATTTAAATTTCTTTAGATTAAATCATAAATTGAAACTTAATTTTTAAATCTTTTTTTTTTAAATTTAATAAAATAAACTCTTCTACAAAATAAGACTACTACCTCTTTAAATTAAATAAATTGTTCGTTCATTCTAAAAAGTAGCCAAGTATGTATTTAATAGAACTTAACCATTAAGAACTTTCTAATCAATTTCGATCTTATTTATCAGGTCCATCAAAATGGCATGAAACCTTATAGCTATCTAAAAAATTGCACAATGCTCTGATTTCGCAGAGAGAAAATTCATCTGAGTAATTATGATTTATTTGTGTTAAATGTTAAACTTAAAACGCTAGCGATAATGCACACATCTATGGTGGTGGGCTGTGGATGGGGATAGCACCAATTATGGTGTAAAAATTTTATAATGTATCTTAAATCTAATGTATTGTATACATATTGTAAAATGTAAAACAGATATAGTTAAGGGAGCACAGTCTATGCTCAGTAGTTAAAAGCTTTAAATTTAAATTTGTTTAGATGAAATCAATAAGATAAAAATTTAATTTGTAAATAATTTGTTTTTAAATTTTATAGAAGAATCTCTTCGACAAAACAAGACTACCGCCCTTTTAAATTAAATAATGCGTTTGTTAATTTTAAAAAGTCGCCAAGTATGTTTTTAATTGAACTTAACCATTAAGAACTTTCTAATCAATTTCGATCTTATTTATCAGGTCCATCAAAATGACATGAACCCTTTTAGCTATCTAAAATAATTGCACAATGTTCTAATTTCGCAGAGAGAAAATTCATCACAATAGTTATGATTTATCTGTGTGAAATGTTACTTAATGACTATGCTCGTTAGACTAGTGAACAAAAATCGAAACTTACAACGCTAGCGATAATGCACCCACCTATGCATCTCTTTATTTTCCTACCATATCACATAGCAACATTGAAAATAATGTGAACGTGATACAAATAATCAAACGTTTCCATTTACTTATTAACAATTTAATTAATTTAAAAATATACTTAATTAAAATAAATTTATGGAATCAAGAGTTTCATTAAAAAGTTGTGTATTATAGAAGAAAAGTATCAGGGCTTTACAAGAAAATAATATAACATATGCCTAATCGTCGTTCTGGAATTATTTAAAAACAGCGTTGTACTTTTTTGGGAGTCGCCTTTTAGCCAGAGTTTACGGGTTGGAAAAATATATAGTAATAAACACATAATAACATTAGACGCTAAAATATGTTTTAGCCAGAAATGCACCAATACTACCAGAAATGAGCAATGCTGCTTACTTTCTAGGGTTGAGGATATATGGTCAACAACTCGGAGTCCTTGTTGGACAGAGGAATGCTGGGAACGAAATCCGAATTGATGAGTAGGAAGGTTATAGGATTCGTTTATAGGTAGGATTCGTTTCAGTAGGATCTTTTCAAAAATTTTTGAGAGGATTGGGAGTAGGCTAATTGGTCTATAGGATGCTGTTTTGTTGGAAGGTTTGCCTGGTTTCAAGAAGAGGACGATGGTGGAATGTTTCCATAAAAGCGGGATGTGTGTAATTCGTAGGATGCCATTGTATATATATTTGAGAAATATGATGGCTTTGGATGGAAGTTGTCGAAGGATCTGTAGGGTTAGAAAGTCATATCCAGGAGATTTGCGAGGAGTGATTATCCGTAAAAGGTATTTGACCTCAGAGGGATTAACAGCTTTAGGTGGTAAGGAGAGTGGGATAGGTATTGAGAGGGATTCTTCTACTTTTACTGTGTGGCTGGGATGGGATTCCGGATGAGGAGCGAAAGTATAGGAAAGGTGTTTGGCAAACTCCTCGGCTTTATCTTCATCAGATGCTGCCCAGGAGCCATCACCTCGTCGAAGAGGGTGGGAAATATGCTGGGATTTGATGATTTTTCTGGTGATATTCCAAAGGGAATTATCATGAGCAGAGAGTGTGGTGAGGTAGGAATTGAATGATTGGGATCTGAAGGTGGCTAATTCTTGTTTTAATTTTTTACAGTGATAATTGTAGGAGTGGCGGTCGGCTGGATGTCTGGTACGTTGCCATAATAATCTGGCACGGCGTTTTATGTGGATTAGGTCAAGGGGGTGTTGAGGTAAATTATGTTTCTTAAGGATTTTTGAGGAGTGATCAGGGTCCAGATTTTTGAGGAGGAATCAGACTGCCTCTTGAATTTTGGTAGTGAAGGAATGTACTGCATTGTCCAGGTCTTCAGGGGTTTTCAGGGTTACTCTGAGGTCAATTACGGCAAATATTAGAGAAAAAAAAAAGAGTACAACGGTGTTGTCCAACAGCTGTATATTGATTTCAAAAAGGCTTACGATTCTATTGACCGTCAGAAACTGTATAATATTCTAATAAAGCAGAGGATTCCAAAAAAACTAGTAAATCTAGTCAGGATGTGCTTGACGGAAACACTCAATAAAGTTAGAATCGGCAATAACTTGCTTGAAAAGTTTGAAATTCGTTCGGGTTTAAAACAGGTTGATTTTCTTTCACCCGTCCTGTTCGATTTGGCATTAGAACATGCCATTAGGGAGGTAATACGTACCGAGAAAGGGTTGGATCTGGGTGGGACAACACCCTTGCTGGACTATGCGGATGATCTGGTACTGTTAAGCTAGGGCTCGAAATAAACACGGATAAGACAAAATATATGGTTAGCTGCAATTGCGATATTGCTGGTGATATCGATATCTGCCAGGACCCTGTCGGTCTCCCAAGCTGCATCTTCAGTCCTCAAGGCCGAAAAAAAAAACTTAAGAACCCTTTTCTTACTTCTTGGAAGATTTTATGCAAATATTGAGGGTGGGAAAAGGTTGGTTTTGATTGCTTCAAAACTTCGGGTGTACAATTATTTTCACTGACCACTTCCTAAAGGAAACCAGTTACTCTAAGGAACGGTCTTCCCCAGGCCTCTCTCTATCTTGCAGTGTATAGGCAGGTAATTCTACTCCACCTTTTTGACGCTATCCTTTGATGTCAGCAGATGTGTTTGTTGTCAGCATATTTTAAGTTTGCTTTCGGCATCTCATAACAGTTATAAAAGCTTATTCGCTATGTTCAATCCATAGCATATTATTATTTGAAGTGGAAAGGGAAAAGAAGAACACGTACGATAAATGTATGCCTTTCCTAAAAGTGAAATTCCGTGAGACCTTCGGAGAGAGAGAGTTCACCGTGAGAGGCCTCTGGTTTGGGTCTCGCGGGACAATTCCAAAAAGAACAAGGAGCTTCCTCAAGGAACTAGGTGTCGATATTAAGGACTAAGCGAGGTTGGCTGAAAATATAGACCTCGACTCCCTGGTAATCATTCACCACCACGTGCATGGCTAAAAAAAAATAATAATACATACATTCATATATATATATATATATATAAATATTGTATACTATGCTCATACATATTGTTAATTCTATATTATTTTAAAATTGTCTGTAGCGATTAATAAGTATACTGTCTTTTTAGCAACCCAATGTAATTGGGCAACACCATTTTATGATAATAAAGTGATTCTCTCTCTATACCTTCTTTAACACTTGAATCCTATTGTAGTTCAAATTCCCTCATAATTTTCTCCCTCGGAAGTACACAATTTTAAATTTTCTGCTAGATTATTATTGAAACCAGATACTTAAAGGTTTAATTTAATGCTGACGCATTTCGGGTTTACTTATACCGTAGTTATAGTTATATTTAATCAACAGTATAATTAGAACGTATTTACTTATGGTAATAGAGGTTGGTTATTTAGCATTCCCCTTGGTATTTACAAAGTTACTCCTCATTTATCTCAAGAACAGGCGATAAGAAGCATAGAAGCTGCTCAAGATGGGGAAAGGATTAAGGAAATAGGACTTGGAGGATTCGGATTCGGCTGGGGCGTTTTATAATTCAAGAGAGATTCCTCTTGGGTTGGCGCCTACCATTTCATAGCATAACATGTCTCCATTGAGCTCCACCTCACCTTCGTTCATGCCTTATTCAGAGTGTAAACTCAGTACCCTAAGTCATTTGTTGGTATGAAGAGGCTTGAAACCGTGTCTTGTTCTATTATTCAACTACATGAAATTTTAAACGGCGGTCTAGGTGTTCGGTCCAATGTAATCGTCATCGTTTTCCTTTCGTATTTGTTTGAGATTTTGTGGTTTTACTTGTCTTCCTCAGATTGATAAAATTGTGAGTTGTTTAAAATAATAATAAAATCAACATTGCTATTGAATTATACGAATTCATCATACATAGAATCTCTGCATTCATGCCTTTCCTACGTAATTTGTTGCTTTTTAACTGATTATTTGTTTATTGATGAATATTACAATCTGTCTCAAGAAAGGACATTTATAATAGAGTTCTGAAAGCACATTCACACCATTATTGCTTCACTTGTACCAAAATCAGCATTCAGTCATAATAAAAATTATAAAATTGTCTTATTAACATTTATTTGATGTATAAAACATTTAAATAGAATACAAATAAGGTCATAGGCATAACAGAAAAAAATAGAGAAAGGACATACTTAGGGTAGGGTTCAGAATAAATCTGCAACTGATAGCTTCCAAATGGTCAGAATCCGGAACGACGAACTGAATCAGCTACAGGAGATTAATGAATACTCCAACCATGCCACATGTCAAATATTAAAGGCGGAACTTGCTCCTATCTGTTTTGAGTGTCCGCTGTCCAGGCGGGAAGGCATTTATCCCGGCCGCACTAGTGGCCCAACTCTTAACGGGAAGGTCTTAGGAAGAACTTATTGTATGTTAATTTACTATATCATTTTTTCTATGAATAATTTTTTCTATTTCTTCAATCTTCGTCTATAGATTGAAATATGTCGTATAGAGACATAGGTGCGATCGCGTTGTCTGACGAGATGAATGAACATTCGGTTGAACCAACCAGGTGACAAGAGGGATAGCCTGCGTCGGGATTGTTTGGGGTAATGATATCAGGGAATGAGAGGAGAGCGGATGAGGGAGAGGTGTGCACACCGATCGGAGTCTCCGAATTATGCACTCGGAAATGACCGTGGTGGGGAGGGTGGGTAGTGAGAGGGGGGCCGTTTTGTGATGCTTCGGCTCCTGTTCGGATGGGTTCGTTCCGAGTTGTCGATTACATTTGTTTGGTTGTTTGTAAATAACCTTCTGAAAGTTAATTGTAAAATTAAGATGTTTTGGCGGGCATAGCGAATAGCCTTCCGCTTTTATATCGAGGATTAAGGTTATTTACACTCGTGAATTATTAAAACAAAACCTCGGAACTGGATATCGACTTTTTGAGGGTGTTTAACTGTGATTGGGAATTCGGAGATCTATTAGCTTTTGTGACACTGAGCGTGAAGAAACAATAAAAATATATATTTGAAATGTGGGACTTATTAAATACACTTTGAATGAATTGACTCACCTGGTTTGTTATTCTTCAATCGTGAGGCATATAGGACTACTAAATAAAATTAATGACTTTTCACTCCTGTGTAATAAAACAATTTATTTACAACTGCAAAAAAATGAATGTATAAGAGTCTTGTAACTGTAGCCTTGATATTCTTGGTCTTCAACGTAGTAGGCCTCTCTTCCCCGATGACTTCCTCTCGCCTCCGACCTTTTGCCTCAAGTGCGTCCTCTCTTCTGACAAGCTCCTTTCTACCTGTCCCGGCCTAGAATGCCTTCTCCAGCTTTTGCTACCTGCTGGGTCTTTTCGGTACCTCCAACCTTCTTCCTTCTTTATCGATTATTTATCGATATGAGACTTTTTAATGAATAATTTGTCCACTGCCACATTGAGTACAATCGTGCCATCTCACATTCCTATATATTCCTTCTCATTCCCTCATACAATGTCAACTAAAGGAGTAAATACAGGGGGTTATCTACTACATGTTGGTAGAATTAGACTCTATTGATGTATAGTTAATCATACTATTACTTTTGATATTATTATTGTTATTGCTAATATCTTTATTATTATTACTGATAGTTTTATTTTCTCCAAATATGAACAGGATATCGACTTGCGTGCCGATGTCCTTTTTTTCTATTTTATACATCTTTTCTTTTACAATATCTGTAAAAGATTTATTTATTTAAGAACCAGGGTATCGATCTTTGTAAATATTTTTTGCTTCTATCAAGGATGCTTTACTATTAATTTATATTGTTTTTATTTCTTTATTCATCTGAAATATTGGACAGCTGCGATCGAGCGCGTGATGTGTTGTTCCTCCGCATACAATTAAAAATTTTAGGCATTTCGAATTTTCCGAATGTCATATTTTCCCACATTGTATACAGATTGGTTGATCTCTGCACTGTTTTTTCACATGGTTGAACTTTAAGCTACTATAGTTCAACGTGTTGTGTGGGTCACTTCAATGGGAAATTGACCTCCAAAAATTTTTTTTTATTAGGTTATCTGATTGGGTACCTATAAAGGTCTCAATCAATAAGGATCAATCATTTTTTACGCCCCCAACTATCTTCGTGAAAAACTTATTAATAAAAAATGGAGAGACTTTTTAAAATCTTCTTCATCACTTCTTTTTACAAAGAGGAAGGTGGGATTTCACTTCCTAGCCATCTTTGGTGGATATTTTATTTGGTGGATTTTTTATTCGACCCCGAGGTCTTTTTCTTTTAGCCAGGGGACTAGTTTGTTCGGTAGAGTTATCCATCGGTCTGTATTAATATAAAATAATGGTAGAAAAAAAAATTAATATCAATAAAATGAATGAATCTCTAATATAATTGAGAACGAATCAAAAATGAAATAAAAGAACATTTTCAAATTATAAGATAATATATAGAGAAGAATAAAACAAATATAGAGTAAAACAAGGGTTAGCTTATTTGGTAGCAGTAGGCAGGAGTTCTTTCCGCTACGGAGTCCAAGCAAACACTGGATGGAATAGTGTTGATGAATCCCGTATAATTATATCAGGTATAAGTTTTCATGTCTGCCATTTACCATGGTCGATTTTGTTTTTCAGCTGACATCTCAGGAAACGGGATTTCCGCCGCAAGTCTGATCAGCGGTGAAGAGCGATGCCAAACGCACAGTGGATCTGTTGAGACGAGATTCTTTATTATAATTTTTCTGCACTGTTTGTGGAGAAACTTCTTCTTCTTTTATTTTGACAAAATTCCTTTTCAAATTAGCTCTGAATTCTTCAACGAAGGATCTTGTCATTGCAGGGCTTGTCTTTTTTTAATTTACTGGTTGATAATTTTGCTCTAACTAATCTATGATCGGTGTTATAATTTAGATTTTGAACCACTTCAACAGTTCTCAAGAATTTTATGTGGTTGACTGATACGTAATATGGTAAAAACCCATCATACAGAAAATAAAGTTGTTATCAATTTCCTTGTTCATTTATTCATCGTTTTCTGTGTCGGCTCCCATCTTATCTGTTTTAATGTTCCTGTGATTTCATATCTGTGTCAGTAAACGATCATGTTTTATAGTATTTATTTTTCTTTATGGTATGAAGATGATTGACCGTGATTATAATTTGAGAAGAAGTTGGTCGTTCAATATGAAATACTATATCTTATAATAGTGTTTTATTATGTTTTCCAAAGTTTCGACCTACATTGTACGGTCTTCATCAGGGCATTTCATCTAGCACTGATGGAAGATGTTAGGAAACTATTTTTTTAAACTTCTGTTTTTATTTTTCTCTCGTCAGTCCACATGTCATTTTTTCTTTGAAAAAAAAAATTGTCAATTTGGGTCTTCCCTCATCTTAAATGAACAAAATTCATAATGTTGGGCACAGTTTCAACGGCTAGTGGAGACAGTTTTTTTATTTCGTTTTAATTCAAATAGCAGTGGCTAGAATTATTAATTTATTTAATTTTATAATAATATATGAATGTATTGTTAACTGTACTTGCATAAAAAGTATTTATGTAATCAACCCCGGTTTGCTAATTTGAATTTGTCTTAATTTCACATTAAATCATTTTCTATATAAGATAGACAAATCCTGCAATGACCGTTTTGTGGCTTTAGAATTGGTTATATGAGCTAAGGCATCGCTAGCCTGATTCAAATTTTTGTTAATGCTCAACTCTAGTAAGATGAGCCCTGTTTTTTTGTTTTTTGTTTGTTTGTTTTTTATACGTTATAAATCCTGTTTACCCTCCATTTGAATTGTTACTTACCATTAAATATCTGGTTTCGATAAAATGTGTCATATCTTGTGTGATCAGAATCATTCATGGTCTCATGTTCCTTTACAAGTTATTATTTGTTCTTCTTGAGAAGTTATCCGTTCATCTGATTCCTCAATGCTAGTTTTGATAGCAGCAGTTAAAATTGGTCTATATATTTATGATATAGAATTTTAAATATTGTAAATGGACTGTAATAATAATAAAGTAGTTTAAATATAAAAACATTATATGATGGATTTCAAAAATCCCTCGTCTGTCAAAAAGAGAAATTTAGGCTCACCTTTAATTGGCAAAGATGAGGGAGGGCTCTACGAGAAAAGGACCTGCACTAGACCTACAGCTGAACCTTTATTTCAATTTCAATTTTCCCGTCTTAAACTTGAAGTACTATTTTTTCTAAATCATAGTCTGGTTTGTTTGAAAGTAAAAAAACCTAACTTAACCATGTTTTAACATGGAGTAAAAAATCACCTTATATGGCCATCCAACCGATATGGACAACGGGATAATTGATACGATATTAATACGACCTCCAAGATTTTTTTAAATCGCGTTTGAGTGACTAATTTATTTTCACGAAGTTTTCACGAATTTAAAAGTAGAATAATGAAGTTCTCTAAACTGTTAACCATGAGTTCACATTCAATTGTGTTGCGGCTTATTCCTGCCTGCCATCAAACCTACAACGGAATATTAGTTCACATTACCGCTACATGGCAGCGTCACATGTGCAAGCTCTGTCATTCCATCCAAAAATGTATTTTTATTTCTCATTATTTTAATGTAAAATAAAATTATTCTATCTTGTAAATGTTTATGAACATTGTAAATGGAGGGACAGGAGCATACTTTCAACTGTTTGATATCTCGAAACCGGTTGGGAAATGGGCCTCAAATTTCGACAGCGAAATAAAAGAAATTTTAATGGCACTGCAAGCCTTGTCACACTTAGATGCCAAAAATTTTCTTATTTTTTGTTTATTAAAAGGCGGCTATTCTCACATGTCACATCCAAATGGCTCTTTTCCTCAGGATATTCTGGAGTGCCAAAACATCATAGAAAAATTACTGCTTCGAGGAACAGAGGTAAAACTCCAAGTCACTGTGGTCTCTATGGAAACAAAATGGCTGATAAACTAGCAAAAGAAGGATCCACATTGAACCAGCCCGAAAATGATATATATCATGATATCATATAATAATCAATGATATCATATCAGAGAGCCAAAAAAGAAATAAATGTGGACAGTGAGGCTCTATTACTGCATTCCGTAAAGAGTTGTTTTGAGAAAAAGCAGTGGAGAATTTTGTTTAATGAAGCTGATCGAGTTCCCATGAACCTGCCGAGAAAGACGGCTGTAGCAGAGTTCCGGATGATAACAGGCCACGACAGGTTTGTGGCACATTTAGGTGTATGCTCGCGCTTGTTGAACATAAGAGATACCAATTCGTCCAAATCGGAATGGTACTGGACTGCAAGATCTCTGATGATAGAAGCCGATAAAGAGAGGCATAGTTAAAAGATAAATAAATGAAATAAACATTGTGAATACTTTTTAATAAAATTTAATGGCAATAAGCTATACTGATCAAAGCTTTTAAATAACAGTAGCTGTTAGTCATGGTTAAATGATTACAGTCCTAATAATTTTTTATAGAGCTCTCGGATCGGCATCTTTCTGAATGTCAGACTTTCCCAGCAGTTAGATCAGTGTATTCTACATACGCTTTTTGATTCTATATTAAACTGCCTTTTTTTATCACTATGCTCCTTCAACTTTATCTCCCTTTCTCTTCCTCTACAAGCTCTGAATGCTCATCCGTCCGCTTGTACTCATATGTAGTAAGTCTGGAGGCTCATCTCTCCGATACTATTTCATCCTGCGGTGTCTTAAGATTCAACCCTAAGTCCGCAGACCAAGAGTGATTTGGATGCTCATCCGCCTGATACTTAAGGTTATCCTGTCTCAACCTCCTCCTTCAATAACTAATTCGTTAAACCTTAATTTGAATACGCTCTGTCGAGGCCTTCTGATCTCTCTACTAACTATACCCACCTCCACAATAGTAACTACTTATTTGTTGGATTCATGTGGAGTTTTTACATTTTCAAAGTCGGGCAGGTTTTATCAAATCGCATTGTGTTCTGTAAGTAAAATGAGATATTTAATGAGGTAATAGTGGACCTCCAACTGGACTACAGAAACCCCACTTTCATCAAAACTTCCTTGTTTAATAAGCTTAGGGACAATATTAATTATGTCTAGGTTTGTTACAGAACTGAAACTCATCACTAATTGTATTGTGATTTTTTATGATATATCACCTACAAGTACCTGTGTTTTCAGCCGAAATTACTATAACAAATTATTATAAAACTTTAATTTATTCTTTTTATTCTATGACTTGGGAAGTATTGTAATAAACTAATTATAAAAATACATTTTTTGTTATTGAAAAAATTGTTAAAAAATACAATATGTTTAAATATTTATCATTTAAATTTATAATGAACTAGTACTGTTTGAACGTGTAATTAAACATATACACGCATGCGTAGAGGCGGAGAAATGCTTTATCTGTTGACTACAGCACTAAAACGGCTGTAATGTTTGTTATAAAACATCCCTAAAGTATTCTCGATGAAACCCAATAAATTTGTGTACATAATAACACTAAAATGGGTTTGTGAAAAAGTTCCTATGAATACAAACATTTATTTTCAAATAACCCGAATAGTGTACATTATTTCATGATATTTATTAGAACATGTTTCAAAGCTAATGAAAGTTCCTAAAAGATAAAAAAATATTCATTAAAATCCGAGCTGTACAAATCTAGATACAGAATTGTTCCGTTTTATTGTCTATTATCTTTCGAAAATGACAGGCATTTCTTCACAAAAAAATCATTGAAATCTGACTATTTGTTGTAGAAATATGGCGTTTGAATTATTTTTATTCCAAGTTCCTTCTGTAGTTCGATATTCATTACTTTTTTTTTTTTGATATTTTAGGACTATAAATTTGCCGGTAGATTCCTAATGGTGGTTTGAAATCTAATTATATAAATGGCTTTATTCAATAAAATATATAAAGTAGAATGTTTTTCTAAATGGTTGGGAAAGTAGATTGGTGAGGAGAGGGTGAGGTAAGCTATACAGATTTAATTTATAGCTAGATTTTATGAATGAAAGATTCATCTTCTATTTGATCCATTTTTTTTTTATTCCTTTAGTCTGATGATTCTCTTTTCTGACCCATCATCAAAGACAATTTATTCTGTTTTAGGCAACAATTACTTCAAATATATTATCAAGACTATTTCTATTTATATAACAGTTTAATTCACATAGTAGTTGATATCTTATTTATATAATAATAAAAAAAAAAATCAGCATCCATCTCATTGCCTTCCAATTCATGTTAAATATTTCTCAGTTGTCAAATATTTGAGATGGATATTTTGTATGGATCAGTTTTGTTTTATTCATTCCTAAACCTAGAACCACTGTAACTCTTCCTCATAAATAGTTTATCATAAAATAATTGACGAAATTAATTATTGGAAATAATAAACCATTGGATGGTACTTTTAAAAGTTTTTATTTCTCTCTTTAGCATCGATGAAACAGTTTAATTTCATCCCTTTTCATCTGTTTTAAACTTTTAACGTTTTTAAATAAAAAAAGTAAAACAGGACCTCAGTGACGGACTGTGCTTCTAAAGTTTTTTTTTTTATCTCTTCAATATGCCTTTAATGTTTTTTAAGTTCGATTTCATAAAGAGACTGCTTTCAGCTATTCTATGAACTATCAAATAACTTTTTTTTTATCTTGGTTGTTTCGTTTTAATAAAAAAAGGGGGAGTTGCGATAGAACTCTATGTTGTTTTTTTTTTAGTAATTATTTTTATAATTACCTAGAGAGAAAAAAATTGTAGGAATAATCAAAAACAGGTTAATTGCAAGCAGTAACTTTAGTTTCCGTTTATAAAAGCTTTGTAAAGT